TCTATGAAAGCACTTTGACTTTCAGTATGGAGCCCCTGACTTTGAGCTGTCTGTGGAACTTGAAGCACGGCTGCAGATTTCACTGTGCCTGCAGGTTAATTACAAGGCAGTTGCAGGCAGCCTTGTAAGCTTCTACTTAACTCTATTCCATGTCCCTTCTTGCTTCCAGTCTCAGTCATTTACTCACTAGACACAACTTGGGCAAACAATTTCAAACGTGACTGGGAGTGAAAACACGTAGCCTGAATAACAAAGTCACACTTCCTCCCATACTTTGTAAAGTTTTCCAATAGCAAATGAAGTGAAATGTGATATCCAGTTGAAAGAGCCAGGAGAATTTATGAAAACACGACGTAACTTGCACACTGGTCGGGATATTTGAGCAATACAGGTTTTCAAACCATCTTTGAAACATTCATAGGGGTATTTAGCTACTTCAGGCCACTAGTTCTTGTTTCTATATTCCTCCTAAAAGAGTTCATCACAGTGACACCTGAGCTGCCTGTGCAGGAACATCAGGACAACCACCCAGAGTCGTAAATAGCAGCCATACAAGTTGCTTTCTTCTGGAGATCCCAACCACCATCAGGCACAGAAGGTGAAACAAATGGAAAGAAAGTCTGTGGCAACTCAGCTTTGGTATGAAGCATCAGTGATCACCTGTTTACTCGCAGTTTTTGGGAGAGCATTTGTGAACTGTCAGACACATCAGAAGAGTTCAAGAGCATGAATAGCACTGTGCTGTCCTTCTCTACTCATCCTTATTGTAAGACAAAGAAATTATTGGGATCACATTTAGCTCACATCATCTAAGCTAGTGTCCTACTCCACACTGCTCTCCAGGCGTTACTTTGAGACAGAGGCAAAGGCTCACAATAAGCTTTATTACAAACAACTTGCAACTTTAGTTGCTCCCCAGCAGCTTAGGCTGCCCAGGACCCCACATCCACGGCCTTGGGCACCTCCAGGAAAGCTCAAGAAACATCAGACAACATTGGAAGGGCTTCCAGCACCCAACACTCTGGTTCACCTGTTGCATTTCAAAGGTGTTTGTTTTAAGGAGAGCTTTTAAACGTACTTTGGTCAAACAAATATGTGACCACCTTGCGTGGGAGAATCTTTCCTACACTCTGAAAAGGAAGCACCGACACTGGGTTTAACTCCAAAAAATTGTCACATTTATCCAATGGGAAGAAGATCCCTGTTGGAATTACTCCCACCTTGATGTATATTCAGGAGCATTTGCCTCATGGTTCCACCCATCTCCCTGCAGCTTGTTTGTGCAGTCCTGAGTGCTGGCAGAGACTGCAAGACAAGAGAACATCTCTCAGGAACTTTTATAGACTGACTCAAGTATCTTGACAATGAAGAAAAGGCAATCTGTCTGTGGAAAGGCAATGAGGAACAAACAAAAGTGACACACGCTTAGTACTAAATGCTTCCAAAAATAGCTTATAAAAGGCTCATATAGCCATCTTTTTCAGTGTTTTTGCATCTTTAACATAAACCTCTTTCTAGGCAGTAGATCTAAACCATTTGTCCTGTAATTAACCTTGCGGGCCCTGAACAGGACAAACACTCCATGCCCTTCTATTCTGGCAGGGATCCTTGACACAGATGCAGACTGTCATTCTCGCTCATCTTCAGCAGCTCTTGTTCTGACCCACGGATTGGATCAGTGATCAGGTTGGATAGTAGGAACAATTTCTTCTCAGAAAGAGCAGTGATGCAGTGGCACAGGCTGCCCAGGGAGGTGGTGTTGTCACCAGCCCTGGAGGTGTTCAAGGACCACAGGGATCTGGCATTAAGGGACATGGTCAGTGGGCATGGTGGGGGTGGGCTGGACTTGGAAATTTAGTGGTCTTTTCCAACCTGAACGATTCTACAATTTGTTACCTTTAATTGGACTAAATCCACTAAGCTTGAAGAGTAAGGACCAAAACCAGGCACAGTTCCACTACTGCTGTGCTGGGGAAGAGCAGGATTACTGCAGGCTCTCCATCCCTTTGTACATCCCATTCTGCCTACTTCAAAGCAGCCAGGCATTGCTGATCCCAGATCTGCTTGTCCTCCCCGTAATCCCCTAATCCTTCACAGAACTGCATCTGCACAACCATTTCCTATGCTGTCATTGTCCACTGGATTATTTTTAACCCTTTCCCTCTGAGAACTTCATATATTTTTTCAGACTTCTCAGATTTGTGATTGTGGAACTCTAAATCTGATGTACCAAGGCTGTGACAGACTGCACAAAAGTCAAATTTTCGGTAACAAATCGGTGCCTACAGCAGAGCTCGTTTGATTTCATTTGACAAAACCCTTCTGTCCTCACAAGTGCTATGAAACCAAACTTCTCCTTCCCCCAGGCACCTGCTTAAGGCTCCAGGTGAAAGCATGACTAACCTTGAGCTTTTCTATAAATACAGCTATAGAGCACAACTGCAAATTGCTCCTGCAGTGCAGCTGATAAACTTTTGAAGGGACATTCATCATTACCTACTTTCCATTGCATGACCTCACATTCCTCTTAAGCTTTACTGACGCATACCAGAAGCCAGAGGGTAGGGAGAGAGCTGGAGGAGATGTTGCCAGACTTCTCAAAAGCACAGAAAAACCTACAAAGTCAAGGAAATCCCAAACAGGACAGAAGAAAAGGGAATATCTTCTCTACAAGAGTGGTGCAGCATTGGAACAAGCACTCAGAGAGGCTGTGTAGCGTTCACTCAAATTTCTCCACGAGTGGACAAGACCCTGAGCTATGAAACTGGCTGTGCTATGAGCAGGGGTGGAAGCAGATACTGCAGAAGTCCGTTCCAGCGACGGTATTTTGTGATCCTATGGGCTCATCAGTTTATATGAGATGTCACTGAGTTGGACCTGACCCCTTCCAACTTAGGACAGTCTATGATTCTCTTCATGAAAGTTGTCTAATATTTCCTGAACGTTGCATGGCTCGGCTTTGATATCAAGGGAACGAAGGTATTTATATAAGATCCACCTGTGACCAGGCTTCCATCCTTTCTCCGCAGACTATTTTCTTCATGAAGAAAAAGCTGCTATTCACAGGTACTGGACTGATTTCTTCTTTTACAGTGAGAGCAATGCAGTTGTCATTGCTAAATAATATTCTCTGTAGAAAATAGACACTTCTAAAAATAAAACTGTTCCTCAAAAATGTTTCCATTGCTGTTAAGCAATCACTGGGTCTCCCATGGGGTTTTCTTTGTATTTCTTCTTTCTGATCCCTGCCTTTTTCTGTTACAGCTTCACTTGTAAATACTCCAGCATTCCTGAAAACACACATTCCCGAAGAGCAGAGGTTTTTTGGGTGGTTGAGTTTATTTCTTTGCCTTTTCTTCCCACCCTAGTGATATTGCTTCCAGAGAAGTGACATTTCCATGAAGGCCAGATTCAGAAGCACGTTCATAGCAGGTTCCTCTGACCAAACATCACCAAGTGCCAGTAGCTTGCCAACCATTTCCTGGCTCCTCAGCATGAGCAGCACCTTTCAACACAAGGTTGAAGATTTTTACATTGAATAAAATAGAATTTAATCATAATCAAGTACTCATCTGTTTGTGAACAACTTCTCTGCTGAGAGTGGGGAAGCTCTTGAAAGATATGCCGACATCCTGGAGCACACACAGTCATCTGGAGAGATCAGACAGGAGCTGGGCAGAAAGTATTGCATGTAAGTATTTAGAAAATACTAAACCATCAGAAGAAATGAGCCCTTTCCCAGTGACTCAGCAAGTCCCAGTGCCTCCCAAACACCTCCTTACCTTCACGTTGCCTCTCCAGCTCACCCATCTGTTGTCCTGCTGAGCTGTGCATTTCCTTACTCTACACACTTGAAATTTATGCATCCATCCACATCCCAGTTCATCAGCTGGAAATCAGAAGTCTTCTCAGCAACATTAACAAGCACTAAGGAAACAATTTTCATTTTTATATAGAACTGTATCAGAACCAGGATAATCCTTACGGATTCCTTCCAAACTGGAATATTCAGTGATGACTCCAATCTCAACAGTATAACCAAACTACACGTCTTCATCAATTAGCATTATTTAAAAGATTAATTTGAGGCTGTGGTGGAGGAAATAGGCTGGGCTAGGAGGAAAATGTTTGACTGTTTTCACAAGTATCTTCCTTTGCAGGCAAGTTGCCAGCATAGTTATACTAAAACAGTTGCAATTATTCCATTGCAGGTGTTTTGGAACAAGTATCAAAGCAACCAGGCTGTATTTGGGTAAACACAAAGAGAGCCATCAGTGGAGGCACGTTTCCCTAAGCTCATGCTCAAGAACAGCGCTCCAAAAATCCTGTTCTCTCCACATCTGACATTGCTGCCCTCAGTTCTGAGCAGTAACATAGCATGCCCCTTGGAAATCTCATGCCAGGCTCCTCAAGACAAACCAACTCATCCTCCTATGAGCTGTGCAATGCTTGAACTGCTACCAGTAACAAATTCACTGTGTAAGATAGGACAACAACAAATTTCACAAGGGGCAGCTTATAACCCATCTGTAATTAGTCGAGGAACCGTGGACCTGTCAGCCAAAGCAGCTGGCCAGACTTGCAGCACAACGTCTTTGTGTCACTGAGATAAATCACCCTCAACCCTTATAAACTGCTTAGCTATTGTGTGCAGGAGGGTGTCTGACTCTGCTAAGTGCTGGTAGTTTATCAATGACACTCTTTGGCTTTTGATGCTTAAGCCCACCCGGTGTGCACGCAGACGCCCTGTCAACGTGCAAACCCAGATTTTGGAGTTTCCATCTACCTGAGATCAGCCAAAACCATCTTGCTGAGGTGGGGGAAGTACAGCTCTGCACATCAGTGATCTGCAAAGCGCTGCCTTCTTTCAGCATCTTTTAGGGCATCCAGCATAAAGAGTTCTGTTGCCACTTCAGCTCATCAACGAGCAGCCTTGCACAACTCTGCATCCAGCTCAAAGGATCTTCCAAGCCCAATAAAAACAAACCCAAACCTGCTCCTTCTTCACCCACAGGACGTGTCAAAATAATAAAGTCAATGTCATAAAAAGGGAAGATTTTAATTGTTTTCTTAACTTAAAGCAGAACACACAACATCTTTTCAAGGCAGAATGACAAAACAAGTTAAACTCTCTTGAAGAACAGCAGCTGACAAATAGTGCAGACTGATTGAAACAACAAGCCATAACTATTTATTAAGGAGGCACACGACACAGCTGGTTATTTAAAAGGAATCACATTCATAATACCCCAATAAATTACACTGGCCATTATTAAGTACAGCTTTCTCTCCTTTCTGAGACTCTCACACACGTAACACAAACCTTCTCATCAACTTTGGCTGTTGTCTCACCAGCAATTATGGTTGAATTGTACTTTCACACATTGCTGTTGGGTCTATTGAGTGGATCAGCTCTGAGTCCTCCTGCAGTGACACCAGCAGTGTCAAACTTGCTATAAAATACATGAGTTTGAACAACAAACGTGTAAAAGATGCTTCAGACACCAAATAGTATATTAAAATACAGACACTGTTCATCTTTGCATATATCATATAAAACAAAAGGAAACTTTTCCCCCTTATATAATGGGAGGCAGCCTAATTTGGTGAAAGAAAACTATGCTCAGTAAGTTATTACTGTGCATAAATGAGTTTTAAACTGGTTGTATTTCATACAACTAAAAAATGTGAAGTAATTTCCAGCTGGCAGGGACTGCAAGTTGATTGTTCATCCTTTCTAACCCTCTTCTGAGAGACCAAATGTGAACAATTGCCAAATGAGCATTAGAAAGGAAAACAAGCAGAGAGGATTTATAGCTCCACTTGCCCACATTTTTTCAAGTTGCTCCCAGCCCCAGGTATTTCTGGTCTCTAAAAGCACAGACAGCACACATTTTTTGCACCTCTGATTACAGTATTGCTAATGAAGTAAAATAAGGACCTCCCAGTTTATGTAACTGAAATTGATTGGCAAAGTGATATAGATATATATTTTTTTTTTAAGTTAGAAAGTGACCTACAACAAAAAGTGAGGGATGCCTGATTTCATATTGCATTCCCAAAACAGAGAGTGCTGGTGGCAATGAACTGCTCCAGAAATCAATCCAGGCCTTCAGATGGCTACAGCTCATTTCTGTCCAAGCAAGTGGGAGAGAAACAAGGTGCAAAATCCTTCATGAAACCCACACATTCAATTCAGCCAAAGCTCCTGCTGTGGGTCCATTCCTCAGCTTTAAGAGGAAAACAATCCTGTTAATTCCATGTTTGTCAGCATAGAGAGAAACAAAATCAAGGTCAGGAACACACTTTGCTGTAGTTTCTTGATAGCCAGTGCTCCAAGCTGCTGGCTTAGTGGAAGCAGGGCCACAACACCCATCTCTTCAGTAGCATAGTGCACTTATTTAAAAATAACATTAATTAAATACTTGCATCCCAAAGTCCACAGCTCTCATACATTCACCAATGTGCAACAGTCATTCTTGTCCAACATCACGTACAGCTTTTAAGACTTAATAATCCTGAAGAAGTTTTCTCCACCTTAATGACACTACAAAGATAACATAGAATAGTGGGGCCATAAAGTAGAACTAAATACATCAGCAGAGCAGTATTGATGCTAGGAGCAAAATCCTCAAAGCACCACTGCTTAGGGTTGCTCCAAAGTGCAGCACTGACATCACCACTCCTGAACAGAGTGAAACAAAGTCAGCTCTCAGAACAGGTAAGAAAATAAGCTTTAAAGAAATTCATACAGGCTTAAGGTTTGTTGGTTGCATAACCTCTATAGCAGTTCAAACATGGCAACAACAAAATCCAACACCCTACGTGAAGCTCAGAGCAATAGCCTCTGTGCTGTAAGGCAAATCAGCTCCAAAAGATGCACGCCCAGGTAGGGAGGTTTATGGCAGCAGTGAATACCAACAGCAAAGAAAAACATTCAGCCTGGGAAGAAAAAGCAACAAGAGCAGCTCAGGAACAATTCAGTCTGCCAAACATTTCTGAGAACAGCCCAGGCAGGCAAAGAGCACGAGCCCAGACTGCCTCCCTGCCTGTTGCTCCAGGCAAATTGGAGACAAAGTAATGCAAACTTCTTAGTGTGAGTTGATATAAATCCCACCAGATTCATTTAATTTCCAGAGGTATCTGTGGAATCTGAAGAAAAGCAGGGATGCCAAACCTTCTACCAGAAATGACATCCTGGCTCTGATGCAGGGCCTTCCTCTGAGAAACAGCAGAGCCAAATCACAAGAACCCAATGGCTACTGCAGTGCCCAGAAGTAGCTGAGCCTTATGTTTTACCTTGTGTTGGACTCCCACTTTGGGATTTTAAAGCATGACAGATCCACACTGCACAAAAAAACACCTAACTTAGCAATAACTGGGACTTGAGAGGGGACTTTGAAGCATCTTGTTTCCTTGGGTGGGAGCAGATCTGTAGCACTGCTACAACTCATTCAAAAAGTGTAAACTGCAAAAAATCAGCCCAGGGAAAGAAATAAATTAAGCATCTCAGTAGAGCTACTTATGGAAACAAAGCAAAGTAATTTTACCCTATTGCTTCACAAATGGGAAGAAAACAGTATGAATAAGAAACAAACACAGACTGTGAAATGAAGTTACCTCTCTGGGTTAAGTGTGAGCTAACAGCCCAAAGCTTTGCTCTCGTTGAAGTCAGCAACTGTGAGGATGATCAGCAACTGAAGCCAGGAGCATTATCCTTATCCACACCAATAATTCAGTGCAGCAAATACACATCCCATGCACTGTGACTCTGCAGCAGTGGTGCACAGCACTACCAGCCCACCCCAGCTGTTGTCAGATGCAGCCACACTGTAACTCCTTGTAAACAGGTAATTAAACAGCAGTGCAAAACAGAGGTGAGCCTCCTGCTACTTACTGTGCTCAGAAACAAACTGCTGAAGGCACGTTAACAACATTAGGAATCAGTTGAGAACACGTCCCTGGAGAGTAATGATTAATGCACAGCACCACAGTAAGATGGACCCTGCTCTATACACACCCTGCTACAGGGTGCTCCTGCAGGACCACAGTTGTTCTTCCCAGCTCTGCCTTCCTGTCAATACAGTAATCACAATCAAAAATTAGCCATGGGCTGAAATACTGCAGACTCCACTTTTCCAGCTGTGTAACAGGGGATCGGTTTCTCAAAAGCCAGTTTCACCATCTTAATTTGTGCAAAACGCTGCACCTGCACAAAGAAAACCCTCACACTCAAAGCAACTCTCCAGGGCCCCATGTTTCTTTGCCTTTGAACATTCTGCAAGTGCAATAACTGGAAACAATTCTGGATTTACCCACAAAAGGTCAAACTGCACTATGGAACACAGATGCATCTCTATTTATACCTCTCAGTAGCTTCCCTTATGCTTAATTCACTTTGCAAGTGAGAACTGCTCTCCAAAGCCATTCATTACTGCAGCAATAGCTGAGAGCCACAGCTGGGTAGCAGTCACATGGAAGTGGTGCTGTTGCATTCAGGCAGTTGTTGAAGCACTGAAATACTCACGTGCTGCAAGAAGAAAACTGGAATCACTCATTCTGCTCCAGTTCTCACCCTGAACATTCACACCAACACACAGCACTTCTGATTGTCTAAGCCACAGAATGGACACCAGCTAACAGCAATGCAATGTGTGAAATCTTCCACACAGAACACAAACCATTGAACAGCTTTGGTAACCTAGGATGTAGCTAGCTTTGTGTAAATATCTTGCAAACATCCCTCCCCCCCTCCAAAATCCCTATGTATACGTGTTTATTTATATAACAATAGACATATTTCCTGAGTAAATTGTTAAATGTGATTACCTGCAAGGCTTGGCAAAAGATCCAACTTTATATTACTAAAATAGAATTTGAAATAAACATTCAATAAACACATGAAAATAAATATGGAATGTTTCCAAAGATCTGTGGTACCACGAACACACGTTCATAACACAGAGCATTTTTCAGTGAAGTCACACTAGGCTGTGCAATTACTGGCTTCTCACCCAGTGAGAAATCAATAAATCTCTTCTCTAATCCTGAGCCACTATTTTTTTTCAGTCTCCTGTCAACATGCTTCTCACTGCAAGTCTCCAAATCCTTGTATTTGAGATGTAAAACGTGCTGATACTTGGTTTAAGACGTAGGAAAGCTCTATCTACCTTGGTTTAGCTAGAATCTGGCAGCACAAATGCTGAAGCATCTGACAGAACCACCATTAAAAGCTGATTATTCTCAAACATAGCAATAACCCAAATTCCTCAACTGAAAAACACCACAGGAGCATGGATTGCTCCATGACAGGATGCGACCCACTTACTGATCACTTTGGCACTGAAAAGAACTACGTAATGGTGCAGAACAAATCAACACCTGAATGAAATACCTTTCAAATGACTTTTCCCCCCTCTTTTCTGTATGCTGGACCATACCATTAACACAGAAAGGAGAATTAAGTTTCACCACACTGGTTTCTCAGGTCATGGCTTGAATCACAGCTGGTGTGGAGCTTTGGATAAGCAGACAAGGAAACGCTCAGCTACTGTTTAGTTCCTCTTAACATTCTAACATAGCAGACATTGTAATACCAGCAATGTTACCACTGCATTAACACCAGTAAGGGATGCAGAATCACAGTAACAGACCTGTAGCCCTGATCAATTGTTGCAACCTTCCTGCTTTCTCATAACCAATGGAAAACACTGTCAGTATAACAGGCCGCTTCACCCTTCTCCCCCCCATCCTCGGCCTCCTGCCCCCCTCTATTATTATTATTATTACTATTAGCTGTCATTCCAGAATCCTCATGGGTTCCTCAGGCTTCTCTGCTTCTTGTGTTGTTGTTCTCCATGCTGGTGGATCCTCGTGTGCTTGTGCTCAGAGTACAAAGCTCTTGTGACGTCCCTTCAGCTTCATGCTTTACCAGGCTGCTTGGGGAGGGTTTTGGCAAAGCCATCTGTAATGCACACCATAACGCAGTGCGAGCCCTGCGTGTGGAAGCAGCCAGCTCTCTAATGGCAGCTGCCAGAGCCAGAACATCTGCAACAGAAAAATGCCTTCTGGGTAAAGCTAGTACGTGAGCCTGATTCATAACAATACACAGAAAAGCTGCCTGAATTCATTTAACACCATCAGTACACAACATTTGATCGAGAAACAGCTGATCTTGTGCTGTCACTGTAACTGTTGAAGCCCTATTCAGCTATTCTTCTCTTGCAACCCATAGGTACAACACGTCACATTGACAGCAACCATAACTGTGCCCAGAGTTTACTGGACTAACTCCCCATCATCCCTGCAAGAGAATAATTAAGCCTATTTAATTGATGTCTATCATAGAAGAAATGCAATGATACAGTGATATCACACAAGCATGATCAGTAAGCCTGCCCACCACGGTGCAGCCAAATGAGCTCCATGCAATCCCTGGTGCCTGCTGTCTACCTGCTGGTGGCACTGACTGACAGCTGAGCTCTGCTGTGCCATCAGCTTATAGATTTGCTCATAGGACTACTACATTTAAGGATACAACATCATTAAGAAGGTGTTTTGCTTTGACAAGCGGGTGTCAACCATTTTGACACTTCACAGTTCAGTTTTCCTTCCTGCAAGGAGGGCTATCTCAAACACTGCTGGATGCCAAAGAGCTGCACTGCCATCTCTGCTGTAGTGACAGGAAGTCAGACACTGCAGAGCAGTGCTGAGAAAGGATCCAACGGAGGACGGCAGTGAGGCTGAGGAACATCCCCCTCAAAAAGCATTTCTGAGAGAAGTTTACTTCCAAAAATATCATCTTCCCCTCCAAAACCCAAATACCAAAAGATATCAGCTGTGCAGTCATCATATTGAATAGCAGCTTCCACTCATCAACTCTTGGAAAGGAATGCAGTTGCTCTGGTTGTGCTCTGAGGTCCATCAAAAGAGGGGTGGCCAGCAGGGACAGAGAGGTGATTGTCCCCCCTCTACTCTGCTCTTGTGAGGCCCCATCTGGAGTACTGCGTCCAAGAGTGGAACCCACAGTACAAAAAAGACAGGGAGCTGTTGGAGAGGGTCCTGAGGAGGGCCACTAGGATGATCAGGGGACTGGAGCATCTCCCCTATGATGACAGGCTGAGGGAGCTGGGCTTGTTCAGCCTGGAGAAGAGAAGGCTGCGGGGTGACCTCACTGCAGCCTTTGAGTATCTAAAGGGAGCCTGCAGAGGGGAGGGGAATCAACTCTTTGAAAGGGTTGATATGTGTAGGACGAGGGGAAATGGTTTTAAGTTGAGAGAGGGGAGATTTAGGTTGGACATCAGGGGGAAATTCTTTACCCAGAGAGTGGTGAGGTGCTGGAACAGGCTGCCCAGAGAGGCTGTGGATGCTCTGTCCTTGGAGGTGTTCAAGGCCAGGTTGGATGGGGCCCTGGGCAGCCTGGTTTAGCATTAAACGTGGAGGTTGGTGGCCCTGCATGTGGAAGGGGGGTTGGAGATTCGTGATCCTTGAGGTCCCTTCCAACCCTGGGCATTCTGTGATTCTGTGTTGGTACTGAAACATTGGTAATAGACAAAAATCTGTGGCAGACTGTGCTGCTGTGAACTAAGCACATCTCTTCCAATTAACACTTTGCTTTCAGGAAGCCAGCTTTGCCCACCTCATGGAAAACTGAAGATGTAAAACATGCTGCTTTCCACAGCTTTGTATCACATGGCTTATTTTCTAACAAGTGCTTTCCTACAGCTATTTATGATAGAAAACAAGCTACAGTTTGTTAACTTCCTAGCAATTAACGTGCTTTCAAAGTCACCATTAAAAAGCAGATTTATGACAAATTTGTGAAGCAAGTTGTCTAATTAAGAAGCAGTTTTGCTTGGTGACAGTGAAACTGCAGAACAGCATACAAGCCTCTGGAGGAGTACACACTCCAGCTGGAAATTAATCTGGCCTTACTTCAACAGCAATTTGGAATTAGAAAGTGTAATTTCTGGCAGTTTTGTGATTTAGATAACGTAGACACTATGAAGAAGCACAGCACTCATTACTTTATAAGCTGAAGACTGGTCAAATAGCAAGGACATAAAGTTAAACTTGTTGAAAAACAAGCAGGTTTTGATTTATAGGACTACTTATTTTTATATAATATCACCAAACAGTTTTTACAGTTATATTTTAAAAAGGAAGAGAAGGCTTCAAAGTGTTTGAAATAGCAAAAGCAAAGGAAAAAAAATCTCGTCAGCTTAATTTTACACAAGTGGAGGTAAGTCTTGCAACTTCTTTGCAGAAGATGCAATAAATTATTGCCACCATGCATTTCAAACTACATGTTTTCCACAACTAAATCTTCAAAAAAGCTCTTGGAGCTGCTGGAATGGGGAGCTCTTACCTTTCTCACTGTTGTAACGCAGCACTCCTTGTCTCTGGGGATTAACAGCATTAACAACCTCATCCTTACGCCGTGCCTGCGTTACGTGGATGGCTTCCATGTGGTGTTTCAAGGCAGCAGACACGTTACCGTGCACAGGGGCACCACAAAGCATTTCCATTTTCCCTATTAAGGTGAGCACCTACCAGGCACATTGAAAACACCAAAAATCACCACGTGTCGGCAACTCTATTAGACCAAAACAACAGAAAGCAAAGAGGAAGCAAAGCATTTCACCTGGTGCTGTGACTCCCTTCTGGAAAACTCACCCTGGCCTGTTCTCGGAGCTGGTCCACAATCAGACGATCCACTCGTGATGGGTGGGCAGGGAGCTGAGACACAGGAGTGGTACTGGAGCTAGAAACATGCCTTCCTGGGAAGTTCCTTGCAAGGTCAGCCTCAGCCTGCAGGGGAAATGGAAATAACATCACAGTTGAAAATTACAGTGAAAATCCACATTGCCATTTGCTTAAGAATTTTCAAATAGAATGGAAGAGTTTCCTACCTTTACTTCTGCCTGTGTTTACAGTAAAATGCTCCCAAGTATCTCTCTAGGTATGCAACCAGCTGCTGTAGGATAGGAATACTTCCTTGATTCAGCTCTATTTTAGAGGAAATGCTTTTAGACAGCACTCAAATCTGCACAACCTCACTTTCACTAACCTGGGACACAGTCTGAGGCACAGAATTTCTGGCAGCGCATCCCAGGCATTTAAATCCATGTCTCTCACTGCATCTCTCAAATGCTACGTGTTTGGATTATCAATTAAATGAAACAGGTGAACACGCCACCACAGCTCAACTGAAGGACATCAGGAATCAGCCACATTTAACATAGCCTGGTATCAGCTCAAAAAGTCATCAGCACAACTGCTGAGCTTCCCAGTGACAAAGGAACCGGCCAAAACATGGTGTAACACAAGCAGTGACAAAGCACCACTGTGACTGTTTTTGGCATAGAAACTTCTTAAACCTGGAATAAAAGGTGGTAGAGCAAGCAGTGGATTCTGTCTTGGTCCTTCTTCAGTGTACAGTGGATTGAGATTAGATATCATGCTGCTGTTCAAGCTAAGGCTAAGTCCACACTTACATTTCAACAAGTGCTGCCTTTCTGCTTTACTGACGTCCTTATTAACACCCCAGCCCTCACCAAGTACAAAATCACAGTTGTTCCTAAGTAACAGATCTCTAGAAGAGTGAGATTTTTAGAGAAGGAAAGAAGCTCGCTGCCATTGAAGTTCAACACAGCCCTCTGGGAACTGAAGCAGCCAGCTGATCAGACAAGATGGAATTAAATGCAAGTTTCACTGGAGGAAAATTCTGTTGATCCTCCTCAGAAACGTATGCAGGCTGAGAAACTTAAAATCTGCTCCTGTGTACCAGTGTAAAGGTGAGCTACACATACACTAATGACATAAACAGCGCTGATACAGAGGCCTCAGCCCTGTCCTTGGGCAGATCAGACAGTTAGAACAGCTCCTCACAAAGTCTTAATCCCTGCCAACCAGTGTTCTCCCAAACAATACCCACAAACAGCAACAAATGCAGATCTGGCACGTTCCTATCAAGCAACCAGGATGCAGTCATCCTCTTTGGGGAGAAAGTGTTTTGGCTGCAGGAATGTGAACCATGCTATGGAGGCTGACTTGCAGGACTGAGAACAGCTTATACTGACTAATGAAGCCACCTGCACGTTCAGTGCTTAACCACAAAAATCAAGCACGTAGCCAAAGGAAACCTCTAGCAGAAAAGTCAGTTATGGGCAAACACAAATGTGCTTGATGAGATGAAGGCAAATTCAGTCATCCCAAATGACTCAGCTGAAGTCCCAGTCCTGCACCAACAAGCTGTATTTGTCACAACACCAAACAGGAGTGTTCCCAAGCGCTTCCTATGAGGAAAGGTTGAAGGAACTGGGCTTGTTTGTTCAGCATGAAGAGAAGGCTGCAGGGAGACCCCATTGTGGGCTTCCAGTACTTGAAGGGAGCATATAAACAGGAGGGGGAACGGCTGTTTGTGAGGGTGGATGGTGATAGGACAAGGGGGAATGGTTTTAAAGTGAGACAGGGGAGGTTTAGGTTGGATCTGAGGAGGAAGTTTTTCAGCCAGAGGGTGGTGGGGCACTGGCACAGGTTGCCCAAGGAGGCTGTGGATGCCCCATCCCTACAGGCATTCAGGACCAGGCTGGATGTGGCTCTGGGCAGCCTGGGCTGCTGGTTGGTGACCCTGCACACAGCAGGGGTTGGAACTGGATGAGCACTGTGCTCTTTTGCAACCCAGGCCATTCTATGATTCTAGGTTAGCAAATATTGCAGGTTCATAGAGAAAAATGTTGTTAGCAGCCCTGAGTGGAAAGAGACTTAGAAATCAAAGCTGGAAGACACACATGGTTTAAAAGCAGTCATGCCAAATAATACAAACATTATATTCAAAGCAGGTTTTTTTGGGATGGTGTTTTAAGCATTTAAAATAACCTAAGAGTCTCCACCTCAAAAGAAGAGGAATGCCAGGGTATCCATTCCCTGTGAGATGCTTAATGTAATCATTAGCTTTGACAAAAAGTTATTGTCAACGATGCTTTACCTTTTTCCTCTCTTTCTCCAAAGCCCTCCACTGCTCATAGCACTCCTCCAGCTGGATGTGAAGCTCGTTAGAAGGTCCGCTGCGGCTCCTGGGAGGTCTGCACTTGTTAAATGGCATTGGAAAGGCAAAGTATGGGGCTGTTATTTCCCCACAAAAGAGGTCACTGATGAAGGGATTCAAGTGGTTAAAATCATCATAATGGAGAAGATCAACAAGTTCTGAGAATGGAAAAGGCGAAGGAGGGAAACTGAAGTTCTTTGCTAATGAAAACAGATGGTGGTTAAACGGAAAAAAGCTGGGAGTTTGCTTAAAATCAAACATGAATGGGAAGGAAGGAAGAAAAGGACTGGTAAAATCTGACATGATACTGCCATTCTGTTCATGGCTCTTTTGGAGCATGTTGTACTGCTGGCAGTTTGGGGTTGCATATCCAAAATGAGGAATGCAGTTCCTTCTGCTGCTTCTATCATCTTTATTCCTGCTTTCCTGGGTTTGCTTTTCTTGAAACCTGTGGCACATTTCAGGGTTTTCACTCCAAACATTCTGTTGTGTTAACCAGCTGGATGAAAAACTAACAGGGAATTTGCATTGCTGCCCCTCTTTACTAGTCAAAGAATCATGCTGTGAGTGTCCAGAAGGGCTCACTTGCTTCTGAGTGTCTGAGATGAAATTAGAAACTCCCAAACTGTTAAAAATACTGTCTGATGTTTGTAACCCTCCATCTTTTCCCAATGGGAGGACTGGTGAGGTCTGTGAGTAATAAGAGGGATATGCCATAGGATGATGTGGGGAGGAGCCCCCAGACGTGGTTGAAGCTCCAGGTGATGACTGTGTGCTCATTACCATTTGCTTTCCAAACACAGCATCTGATGCAGCTGTTGGTCTGGAAGATTTCCCATCCCGCCATGTATGTCCATGGTACAACAAGTAATTCCCATTTTTTACTGACAAATCAAACTCAGAAATTTTATGAGTGTACTCTTCAGGACTAACGTGGTTCTTCCATTCATTATTATTATTAAAAACATCCCCTAAAGTAAAGCTTTGATGACCATTTTGCACATGGGTTTCCCATGGTTTTCTGTTCGTCGCTCCAGAAAAGCTTTCCTTCGTTGGTTGACTGAAAAAATACAGCGATGGATGAACAGATGACTGGGATTTCTGAGCAGCTGTAAAGCTTTCACATCTTTTAGAAAAGAAGTGGCTGTTCTGGGGCACTTCATCCCAAGAGTCACCAACAGACTGATTAGAAAGATCAGGAGAATGTTTAATTTGTTCATACACACCATTTCTCATCACGTTGCCTCTTGCTCTTTCAGTTCTCCAGCACCCTGTCTGAATGATAGGGTTATCTTCCACTCTGTTTTGAGAAGAGGTGCTAAAACTGGAACCATTTTTTTCAAAGTCTCCATTTAAGCTCATCTGCTCATCTCTGCTCCAATGCTGATTACAATCCGCGCTTTGAAACGCGCACCTCTCTTGGAGAATGGAATTCTTGTTTTCCAAAGAGGAATTTGCAGGATGGCCGTTTTTCAGAGCGTTGTCAGGCTGAGTGCAGGGGTCAGATGGAGAAAGCCAAGATTGGATGAGATAAAGGTCTTCTAAACCTCTGTGCAGCAGCTCCACGTCATGCGACTGGAGCAGCTGCTCCCGGTAGCAGCTCTGTGCACACATCAAATCCTCATTGCCTACAGAGTGCTCAGATGAAAGCCCTGAGGATTCACAGTTGTTTCCTAAATCAGAAGCCCACAGTGGTGGCAACAATCTTGAAAGTGAATTCCTGTAACAGAATTAAGAAACCTCCAGCAACAGTGCGTTTTCACACATTGCAACAGCTCACGTCTCAGGGTTATCTTCTGCCCTGGACACATTTCCCCTTACATTCTTGGCTCAGGATACCCAGCTCTCCTACAGAATTTGAGGGGAGGAAATCTCTACTGCAGTTAAATAAATGCTAAATGGAATCTGGCTGCCATTGCTGTTCTCTATGGTACACGCATTCAGAACTGTAGATTTCAACTATTTTGCACGTGATGATTTATAGACAGCTCTCTATTGATTATTTTTAAACATTTTTAGAACCTCCCCCCCAGTGCTGTGACCCAATGGAAGACTGAAATTGCTGCATTTCTAACAGGCTACTTCTAGTTAAAAATAAGTTTTCACATTTCTTTATGAGAAAGCCCTTTATCTCTCAATTCTGTGCAATTTTAAACATGCACACAGGTGACAAAAGGATGTAGAAGTGACACACAACATAAGAATTTTAGAATAAACTGACCAATCTGTAGCTGGTTCTGCCTTGTTTGGCTCCTCTAGGATGCTCGACACCAGGCCAAACATATCAGGGCCATTGCCAGAATAAGAAAGATTTGTCTGTGCCCTGAAAAACAAAAACAACGAAAGCATAGCTAAGTAAATCATTTTTTCCTTCTAAATAAAACATACTAAAGGTAAAGCATTCATTTAACCTTTCACTCATATCAGCAGTGTCTCTTAATCGTGTGAATTCAATGTATTCTCAACATACATACATACAAATTTATTCCTGCATTTGTGACTTCTCCAGCCTAAAACCACTTGAACATTTCCTTCAGCATTTCTAACTTCTTGCTTCCCAGAAGGTTTTTCTTGCTGCTGTGTGAGGAGACAGAAGCACCAAAAGATTTTCCTCTTTCCAATCAATGCAGCTATTTAACAAAGTGCAACATTTCTTCATATTCTGACCACCTCCTTTGTAGTGTAAATATGATCTTCTCAAAATCTTGTGGTTTTGAATTTGTTCTACTTTGATATTGAAGAGCTGTTACTTTAATCTTAACACCTTTTAAATTTAACCTTTTTCTCTTTATTAAGAATCACTTGAGCCTCTTTGTAACCTGCTTTTAGAAAAGGATTGGTCACAGCTTTAGTTATTACTGATAATACCAAAGGTGCTCAACTATCACTTCCCTTAGATAACCCCAACTTCTAGCTGTTACATCAGGTGCAAAAATGAGACCTTCACAGAGCTGCCTGCAGTGACATTTAACTTCATATCAGAAACTAATTAAAACTTAACACGCTAATTAAGATGCTATATGTTGCTTCAACAAATTTCACCCTGCCTGTTCTTGTTCAGCTCAATCATTTCTGCCTCCCTGAAGCTCTCTCAGCCCTCCCCTGGTGTCAGTTTATCCAAACAATTACACTGCTTGTTTTGCTACAGAATTATTCGTGCTAATATTGCAGATTAACAAAGCCCAGGGCTGTGGGATAAACAATTAAAACTGTCACTTTGCTAATCTCTTCCACAATGAAGATTAGCCACTGATGTCTTGCTAGATATTAAGACCTCTCCACACTTTAACTTCTTTGTAACACATGTGTCTTCCATAACTGTTATCTTACAGCACCTCATGAACCTTTGAAGTTCCTCCTTTCCCATCAAACTTCCTCTTTCTTACTGGTAATCAATAATAATAAAAAAAAAAAAAAAAAAAAGTGAGGAACTACTGACTGCCTTGGATATAGAATGATAGAACATCTGAAATTGGAAAGGACCCACAAGGATCATGGAGTCCAAATCCTGGTTCCACAGAGGACTGCCCAAAAATCAAAGCCCATGTCTGAGAGCAGTAGAGACCTTCAGAGAGATCTTGACACATCAGAGCTCAAGCAGTCACCAACTGCAGGAAGTTTAACAAGACCCAGAGCTGGATTCTGTGCCTGGGATGAGGCAGTCGGGGCACCACAATGCAAGAAGGATACGAAGCTGTCAGAGGGCACCCAAAGGAGGGCTGTGATGATGGCAAAGGGTCTGAAGGGTAAGGGGTGTGAGGAACTGCTGAGGGACTTGGGTTTGTTCAGCCCAGAGAAGAGGAAACTGAGGGGAGATCTCATGGCCCTGCAACTGCTCATGAGGAGCAGAGTGGCAGCGCTGAGTTCTGCTCTCCAGTTGCAGGGACAAAGGAACTGCATGGAGCTGCATCAGGGTGGGTCAGGCAGGGGTGAAGGCAATGAGCTGCCCCAGAGGGTGGTGGGTGCAGCCCCAAGCTGCCAGAGTTCAGGGAGATTTGGGCAGTGCCCTCAGACATAGGATTTGATTTTAGGGCAGGCTGGTATAAAGCCAGGGGTTGGACTCTATGATCCTTGTGGTGCCTACCAAGTTGAGATGTTTGCTGGTACTGAATAGGAGGCATCTGACGCTAGAAATGCCAGCAGCAGCAGCTTGGGTAGCAAGAATGGAAAGCTACTGTGCCAACCTGCACCAGCCCACCAACCCCACAAACAAGGCAGTATTATATTGCCATCATGTGGTATCAGCAAAAAATGTAGTGGGAAGCTTAAATTATTTTTTATGCATTTCTAAAGCTGCAATAATTTCAACATTATAATTTTAACTGCTGGACACAATACAGCCCTAAAGAATATATTTGAAGGAGAACATAATTTTGGGGGGTTACTGTAGTTTCTGTACTGTGAAGCCATAATTCCCTGCTCCTCACAATGCTCATGTAATTCATGACCATCTTTACCCCTTTATAAGGCTCAAAGTGATGCATTTATATTTCTGGAGAATACTAAATAATTAAGATTTCAGAGGTTACTACAGAGGACTTCATAAAAGTCCCACAGAGGGCTGAGAAGGTAAAATAGTTAGGATTGAGAATCCAAGAGAAGTGAAGATGGGAAAGTGTTAAATTTCATGGGAACTCAACAATCTTCCCCTTCTTAGAAAGCACTTCAAGTGTACCTGTTTTAATTAAGGGGGAAACAAAGCCTTTATCACACAAAAGAATGTAAGAATATTGATCTCCTATGCCAAGAAAACAAGAGATACTTACTTTTAGCTGACACTTAAAAGTCTCTTAGTTGTTCTTAATACATCACTCACATTAACGCATGGGGCAAGTCAAAAACAACTTTGCATTCAGCCAGCATCCAACAATGATTTGTATTTGTTTACTTTTTGTATAAACTCACACTCGAGTGCATTACTTCAAGGGCACACTGAGCAGGCTGGCAGATGTTCAAAGAGCAGCACTGCATGTACTGATGCTGCCAGCAGCAGAGGGGTGCTGCTTCCCCCTGACCTGCAGCTAACTGCTGCTCACATCCCTCGACACACTGCTCCACCAGCAGGGCCATCGGGAGGTGAAGCACGGAGAGAAGGGAGGGAAGGAAGGCAGGCTTTGTCTTTACCAGCTTTTCGTTAACATGTAACAGTTTCCCATTTAATTCCTTAAAAATTATTCTTACAAGAAGTTTAAGTTTATAGACACACACACAACCAGCGTGTGTAAACATACCGGTTTTTGGTGCAGTCCTGGAAGGGAGTTTTGGTGCCAACAAGTTCCCCAGGTGCTGAGCAGTCACTGTGCAGACAGGAAGATTCTAAGGGATGTGATGGGCTGGTAATTGCTCCTAATAACGGGGAAATTAATTGAGTGTCCATTCTTTGTTTCTTGCGTTTACCTTTGTTGAAAAGGTGAAAATAGACGTTAGATGTGTAGGTCAGTGAGCAGTAAAGTTAACTAAGTAAAACCTCCCTTTTATAGCTTAAGCTAAGTAATTTTTCAGGAAAATGTAATGTGGGAATCACCAGAATGCAGTCTAAAACTCACTTCCTTCCTTAAAACTTGTTTCCCTACCTTAAAACAGTCCCAATTTGACACTCGTAAAGTAAATAATAAATATTATACTACACAGTAACAGGAATTCTCTGCAGATTTCACACTGCAGATGTTCACACACCAAGCTCACAAGATGAGTCTTTTAGCCTATGACTGGAAATGCACACATGCAGCCCTTCTGAGCAAACAGAGCAGAGCAGTAACCCTGCCAGATCTCTGACAACACAGGATATTCCTGCAAAGAACCCCACATAAGCAGGGGGAGACGCGTGTGAACTTTATAGAGAAAAATGTGGTTAACAGAAGTTCCCCGTTCCCCTTCACCCCCCAGAATGGAGAGCAGTGCCTGGAAAAAAAAGGAAGAAACTTTCAGACTAAATGACTGAAAGCTCCAGTGTATTTATACACTAAGATCACTTCTGTGGCCATGAGACCACCTGCAGGTTGTCTAAGCATCCCCAGCTTCATCTGGATGTGTCAGTCAAGGATTTGCAACAAAAACAAGGGTTAAAAAGGACCAAAAAAAAAGGACATGGTGTGCATGTCACTGCTCTAACAGCCCTCCCAGTAAGCAGCTTTGTTTGTCTGTCCAGGTCTATCTGTTCTGAGACACAGAAGAGTGCAGCACTAGAAAGTTAATGGAAAAGAATTGGAGCTGCTGCCAGCACCTGTCCTGTGTGTACAACTGGGCAGCAGGAAGAATTCAGGATGCACTGTAACAAAACAGCTCCACTAAAATCTAATGTTCAGAAGCCATACTGGACTCTGGTTACCTGGCTGCTGAGGATAGAAAGCAAGACCTCTTCTAAGACTGAGGATAAAATAAACTTCATAATCCTCCATTGTAAACACGGCTGGAGAAGGCACAGTGTGCCTGACTTTTTTTTCTAGCTTAATAAAGAAAGAAGAGAAGTCTTTCATTGGCATGGTCAAACTAGTGCTGGGTCAAAAAAATCACTTGCTAAATCCCCTTTGGAAACCACACACAGATCTCAATCATGTACTTCAAATCCTGGAGAGTGTTAAAAGCAGAAAATGAAAGGAACAAGCAATGCTGCAGTGACAAGCGTGCCTTGTTAGCAAACATTCAAACTGTTGTACTAAGCTCTCACTTTTCTGCTTCTAAGATAAAAACTGCATTTTCACTTGGAGCCACATTCACACGGCCAGAATTGCCAACTCTGAGACAGCATTTGCTGTTGGAGAAGCATCTCCAAAGTTCTTAACGAGTGAACAGGAAAAAAAAAAAGCTTAAGGGAAATTTACACTGCCTGAACATAGCTGTGTGTGTTAAGTCTCTCTGGAGTCTCTGACAGGCTTCTTTGAAAGTCATTTATGTCTCTGTAACCTAAGAGAACAAAACCTCACTGCTGATCATTGCACTCTCTCATGCCTCATTTGTTTAAAAGAGAAAATAACAAGTTAATTTCTCTCTCTCCTCCTGTTTCACCCTACAGCCTGGACACATTCTGTAACGTCACACAGAAACATGCTATCAATGTCTGTGTCAGTAAGCAGAGATAAGAACCCTTTCCTGTCCCACAGCACAACACTGCCCAGGTGACAGAGCAGCTCCTATGTTTGCAGATGAGAAGTGTGGTATCCAAACTGTGCTCTACAAAGGGCTGATGAGCAACACATAGGTGGCATTTCAGAAAGCAGGAGCTCACCAAGACTAAAATTCCAGTAATAATTTAGTGGCATCAGCAAGTACATTGGGCTCTGGTCTTGTTTAGTCCCTAGGGAATCAACACACAAATAAATCACGTTCTTTGGCTAAAATACAAAATACTTCTGCATAGATTAAAAATAGGATCTGTAACGAATGGATTTGTCTTTATTTTCAGGGCCACAAATCACTGCTGCTATGAACTGTGCAGCACGATGTGACTGAAGCACAGCAGAAGAGGTACTTCTTGTACCCTCAGTGCTGCCTCACCTGTTAGCACTTCCAAAACACTGGAGGTTCTCTTTCTATCTTGTTTAGGAACTTTGTTCAACAACTGGGAAACTCTGCTCTGTGCTTTACATACCAGCTAGTAGCAAGCTGCAGTAAAAAAGGAGCAAAGCAGTGTGCTGTCTCCTACAGTTTGCTTTGTTTTCAGTCCTCTGCTGAATTTCAGAGTGAGACTTTCCTTAGCAGGCTCTGCAAAGGAAGGGCTGCCTGCAGAGCCACAGATGTGCTTCATTCAGAATTTCAATCTCAAACAACATAAATCAGTAAACAAGATGCTTGTCTCTAACAAAACCAAATAGCAACTCTTAATGGTCTCCTCTTGGATTCCTACTTCATTCTTTCCACCCTGCAAGTCATGAGAAACCAGTGCTCCCACTAAATAAGACCGTATCTAAAACCCAGATAGGCCATCTCAGCAGACTTTTTTTTCTTTCAAAGCATAACGAGACACAGCTTCAGTTCACTTCTGCAGAACAGAAACATGCACACACTAAGCTCGCTCTCTCCAAGCCCAACTGAGCAAACTTTTTTTCCCCCATGCTTTTTATCATCCATCGCTGTTATGAAGTCACACAATGTCTTCAAATGCACACAGAGGGCTTTTAACTTCTGGGAAGCTCAGAGGAGTAAATGAACTTGAACATTCACCAAAAACATTCGGCCTAAATCAGGAAAAAGTCCTTTTACAGCCACTTATCTGAAAACTGGAGGAACATGCTGTTACAGAGAACTGGTTGCAGATGCTTTTTATAAACAGCAGTCAAACTTCTTTGTAATGCCAGTAAGTGACAGCACTGCACAGTATAGTTACTTTCACACTGAATGTATTTTCTGATTTATTAGCTAGACATTTCCTGCTTTTAGGGGCTCCGCAGCCCAACTGCCATTAAGAACTCATTGGTTTCCGGGGCATTTCTTGCTTGTTTCTCTGTTTTCAGCACAACCACCTGAAATCATTCATTTCACATAGCCAAAGAGTTTTTCTCCACAGTAATTTCTAGCAGTTGCTCTTCCCACTCAGTGGGAAGTCTCACAGACAACAAGAGCCTCCCAAAGTCAGCCTGAATGAGCAAGTGCTGACTGCCCCATCATCTGGCTTCATCTCCTGTACTGACACAAAGCAATGAGCACAAAGCAGTGAGATCTGCTCCAGCTGCAATGTAGCATTCTCTGTTGTTTTTTTTGTTTGTTTGTTTTTTTGGTGGTGGATTCTTTTGTTTGTTTCGTATGCAGATATTCAATATTAGTTATGCTGGAAATGATTCCCACAGTTATAAAAAGTAATATAATATAAAAGAGTTTGTTTCCTTAAGCAAACTCACTTTTTGGACCCACCTGTGACTTGTAATGACCACGTGTGGCAGTTGGTTTGACCATGTCCTCCTTACCAGCAGGCAAGATCTCTTCTGTAACGTATGCAGCATTGCCACCCAAGCAGAAATTCAGGTTCTTAAGGGCAGACTTAACCTATTTTAAAACAATCAGAAAGAGAAAAAGAAACAATGACCAGGCCTGTCAATGTCCTGTTTGTTAGGCAGGAAACTCATTTACAGACATTAGAGAATAATCTCCCATGCTGTTGTTAGTGAAAAGCAGCTCATTCAGTTCCTGCAATTCGCATGTGTGCCATTTCTCCAACTTGAGCCACTTGCATTGCAGGGTACAGTAAAACAGTGCCCACAGCAGCCAGTCTGCACAATACAAAACTGTTGGGTTTCTTCCTAGCTGACACAAAACTTTAATTGGTGGAAGAAATGAACGGGGAAGGGGCTGCTCTAAAGGCCGAGACAAATCAAGCTAGGATGTGCGACTGTCATGTCATGGGCAGTTCTTAAAACTTCACGCAGCATTTACTCTTCTAAAGGAATCAGGTTATGTCAGATGATGCCCGCATCCAAACGTGGCTGAATGGGAGAGCTATGGATTTACCCAACCTGTTGTCCATCCACAAACCTGCTACAACATTTCATGCAGCACACACAGAAGTTTTCACTCTTCTCTTTCCCAAGGCCCTGTTGGAAACAGGCACTAAGAGCACGATGAATTAGTTCACCCACTCCTGACTGTCAGTTTCCTTGGGATTCTTACAGCATTTCCATCACCATGCAGCAGAGAAATGCGCACAGACTGACAGCAAAGTCTGGCAGAACAGCTCTGCAGGAGGTGTGCAGGTACCTGTGCCTCTTGAAAGAGCAGAGCTGGCTGCTCTCACATCAGCTGGTACAACATAGCAGCCCTACAGCAAGGGAAGGGCTGCAGTAACACAACTCCTGGCTCTGCAGAAAGCCCTGCAGTCCCCCTAAGGAGGAAGATCGTGCACCCGGTACTTAAGCTGAGCTAAGCCAGAAGGCTCAGCACTGAAGCGATTCAGGTACATACAACTGCTTCCAGGCACCAACTTTTCACACAGCTTCCTTTCAGAAGAGATGCCTGGTAATATCTTCGCACCACCTGCGATGGTTTGTTCAGTCAGTGTGTCTAAACTGTTAATCTTGACTGACCTTTTAACCGGGATTCTCACAGGGCCGGTTGATAGCTGAAATCTCAAGCAGTCCATTTGCATCTCAAAACAGTCGCTACTTCGAGCATTCAAGGCAGTGCAGGAGTCACATTAAAGTTCACAACCTGAGGGTGCTACGTTAGAGCTTTGTTAGAAGCAATGCTTTAAAGGAGCACTGCCAGTCTGGGTTTTGTTCAACTGGCAGATTTTTTCATGGAGCACTTGAACACGCCCCGAGTTTTTATACAGCTTTAAGTTGTGGGAGGTTATTTTTATTGTGGGGTTTTTTTTCCCTTCTGACATTGAGCCAAGAGCAAGAAGATGAGCGACCACAACCCAATACCTGATGGCAACAAGCTGTTCTGTTAGCAGGGAAAACTGACCACCCGCTTCTTGTTCTCACCCCACCCCATTTCACAGATGTCCAGAGCTCACCAGAAGAGTGACACGCATCTTGACAACGTAACCCACAATATCCAACAGAAATGCAATCCCACAACCCTTAACACCAGTGTAACTTCTGCTAATCCTCCCATTTTTCAAATTAATACTTTTTTTTTTTTTAATTAACACTAGAAACTCCAAATGAACCTTGCCAACAGTGAACACTATGTGTATACACAGCCCACCCTACTGACACAGATCCCAGAGATGAGGTTACATGGCTGCACCCCCTGCAGAGCCCGAAGGCCCTCGCTTCTCTTTTTTGGCACATCTGCTTTGGACTTGTTATATTTAGGCCTACCTGCTCTACAAAGCCACAAGCCAAGGTCTGTTGTAGAACAGATCCCCATTTTGCTCCTCAGTTCCAGCTTCATGAAGGCATTATCCTTGGAACAGCACACCAGTACCTTTGCGAGGTTCTTCTTCCAAAGGACAGCATGCAGAACAGTCCCACAACATTAAAGATCTGCAAACCAGGACCGTGACCCAACGCCACAAGCCCTTCAAACTGTGCAGTCCCACCACTCCTAAGTACATCTGCACACAACAACACAGGCCTCCCAGCCTTACTCGGAGGTGTCTGAGGACGGGTTGGTTTACAGAAGACTTAACACACTCATCCCCAATTAGAGAACTGCTCTTTACAAAGCACTGATATCAAGCTGCCAATCGTAAAAACAGAAAACCCAACTGAGCTGTGAGATGCCATCATCTCACAGTCCTAATCTGGGACAGCTGAGGAAAGGTGTTATGAAGGCAGCTTGTTACTCATCACCAAGCAGCCCATGACTCCACCACCGCAGCAAACAAACACACTTAAGCAGAGACACACAAGGGACCTTCATGTAAACAACTGACTTTTTACCCCAACTTCTAATCACTACAACGAATCCAAACGTGGCCAAAATATTACAAATAAGAGCACAAGATGTAGATGGCATCCCTTCAAATATACTCTTGGTACTAATATACTCCCAGTAAGTCTTTTCATTTAGGAATACAGAACTTCAATTAAAATTAGGAAATACTTGTCCAGATGTGTTGGATTATCAACTATAAGTTAACCTCCCAAATGAGGTGTTTTTAGAGTTATTTTTAAACAAACATATAATTAAGTCACCGACAATTTCAGCATTTTACCATAAAAGCCTTTGAAGTTATAAACCAACAACTGGGGCCAAATAAAAACATCTTTAACAGAACAAGGATTAGCATATGTCACACATCATTAGAGATTCCTGTATCTCGATTTCATTGGACTACTAAGATGAGATAGAAAGCTGCTTTTCCACTTGGTCACTTCCCCAGTTTGTGAAACCCAAGCAATGAATAGATGTCTTCAAGTTTGCAGGCTTGAGCACATCAGGTCACAGCGCTGTTCAACAGCTTCAAACCGTCTCCCAGCAGAAATTAATGGGGGAACTATTACCTGTTACTCAGTTTCTCCAAGTTTTTCAGCGTCTTCGAGTACAACAGCAAGAGCCCTCAAGTTTCCCAACCACTTTGTGAGGCTCACAGCACGACCCTCACTAGAAAGCTCTGCAGGTCCACGTTAAGAGGCGTTTGTGCGTGGAGGTTTCTCAGCTACTCATCACACACAACCTCCTGCAAGGCTGAGCGCTGCCGGACCGACAAACGACTGAGCTTCAAAGTGCAGCATCATAGCAACCCGAGCAAACGCTACACTGCAAAAATCGCTTCTCTGGATTGTTTTGCAGCTTCCTTACGGACACCTACCACCTCTCCCGACCAACGAACACGCACAGGAGCCTCACCCCGCGGTGAGAAGCGCCTCCCGCCGAGTCAAAGCTGCTCAGCCCTCCTCCCCTCCCTCCCCCCGAGGCGGGCGGCTGTGGGGCAGCGGGAAGCAGCGCAGGCACCGCCCGGCAGCCCCGCGCTGCTCACCTCCCCGGGGCGGCACGCACGGCGCTGCCAGGCTAAGGGGCTGCGTCCCTCCTCCACCCGTCCAAACGGCGGGATGAACGCAGCAGAACAGCAGCGGTTTTCGGGCTGCGGGCTTGGAAGCGGTCCATAGAGACGAAGTGTCAGCGCTGGCGCTGAGAGATTTCTGCACGGAGCTATTCCAGGGCAGAGAGGTCCCAGAGCTGCACGGCACGGATTGCTCGCCCTTGAGTGTCACCTCAGGTACACGCCCTGCCAAATAGCTCTGCAACAGCTAAAATCCGCCCCTAGCAAGCAAAGATTTCACACTGCCAAAGGTCCTGCTGCAGAAGTGAAAGAAACACCGAGCTTACATGTTTGATCTTCTTGCTTTACAACCAGTCTGTGCCATGTAACGTCTGATGTCACTGCAGGACCAGTATGTGGAAGTACTATGGGAATTGTAGTTTCCTCAGCTGGGCAATAGCTGCACAGTGCAGGACCCAGGGCCCTCGAAGCAGCCTCCTTCTTACAGAGGCTTGCAGGAACTGCTGGCAAATGCAGATTAACTCCTTTAGTTGGGAACTGCTTCTCAAATGGGAAAAAGCATTCTGGTCGTTTCAGCAAGCGTGCACCTTCTTCTCACAGAAAAAGGAGCTTCTAAGCAACCACTTTCTGGTGATCACATGCTTTCAAACTCTTCCAGTTGTAACCAGGAAGCACCACCCAGCAAGGAGATATTAATTGCTGCAAGGTGTAACAACGCTCCAGTTGAACAATAAAGGAGTTCTTACAACAAGCTCATTGCCTCTCATACCCCTGGGGGTTTGGTTTCTCTACAAGGAAAATAACTCACCCAAACGAATGCTTTTGTCACTGCTCACGATGCATCTGCCACTTGGATTCCTATTGGGCTCACTCAGCCAAGTCATTGTGAAGACTCAGTGAGCAAATGCAGCCCTCGGCTTCCTGCAAGAAGAGTTAAAAGTTAAGGCTACTCCAGTCAAAGGCTTTCCTGCAAGATCAAGTGCTGCACCTGACTCACCTCCTCCCACTTTCAGTCAAATACCTCTACTGCATATGGATTATCACCTTTTACACATTTTTCCTTAGCAAATAAGTTTTTTTTTCCCTACAACTCCATGCCTTAATTCAGAACCTTAATAACGAACACTGGTGTTTCCCTCACACCATGTGCTATGACAGAATAAAGAATCACAGAATGGCCTGGGTTGCAAAGGAGCACAGTGCTCATCCAGCTCCAACCCCCTGCTGTGTGCAGGTCACCAACCAGCAGCCCAGGCTGCCCAGAGCCACATCCAGCCTGGCCTTGAATGCCTGCAGGGATGGGGCATCCACAGCCTCCTTGGGCAACCTGTGCCAGTGCCTCACCACCCTCTGGGGGAAAAACTTCCTCCTAACATCTAAACTAGGAAAATAATAGTTTAAATTAAGTCTGAACAGTTTTAATAGTTTAAATTAAGAAATCCACACAGACAACAGAAAAGGCTATCAGAGCCTCTTTCATCTTTAAATAATAATAATAAAGCTATTCTGGTAAGTTGATTGCCATAATACAAAAACAGATCAGTTGCTGGGATGTGTCATCCATCATCATCCAAGTATTACTGCAAAGTCTTGAGACTGAAATAAAAGGAAAGCATGGCGCCAGCAAGCTGCAAGCAAACCTTTCCAAAAACCTCAGTTTATCCTTCAGCCGAGTTAAACCTAAAAACATACATTTCTCATCCTGAGCAATAACACTGAGGTGCTTCCCATGCTCCAAGATGCATCTCGCAGAATATGAGAAAGCTCCCATGACAGCTACAAGTGCTACAGTAGGAATCAGAAAACTCTTCTGAGTTCCTGGATGGCTTCATGCAGGCAGACTGAAAACTAGAGATCTTAGAAGGATGATTTTTAGAGATTATATGCATCTTCTCTGTCCCCAGGGTGTTCTCACTAAGTTACAGTGACTTCACCTCACTTTCACAGAATGATTTGGGTTGGAAGGACCTCAAGGATCATGAAGCTCAGACACCCCAGCACAGGCAGGGCCACCAACCTCCACATTTCATACCAGCCCAGGTTGCCCAGGGCCCCATCCAACCTGCGCTCCAGGGATGGACGGGGCATCCACAGCCTCTCTGGGCAGCTGTTCCAGCACCTCACCACTCTCATAGCAAAGAATTTCCCCCCAAGATCCAACCTCAATCTCCCCTCCCTCAACTTCAAGCCATTTCCCTTGTCCTGCTGTTATCTCCCCTTTCCAAGAGTTGATTCCCCTCCTGTCTGCAGGCTCCCTTTAGGTACTGAAGGCTGCAATGAGGTAACTCCACAGTCTTTCCTTCTCCAGGCTGAACAAGCCCAGCTCCCTCAGCCTGTCTTTGTAGGGGAGGTGCTGCAGCCCCCTGCATCATCGTCATCAAGATCCATCACTGCAGCGCTTCCCAGCGACAACACTGCTAAAATACACTGAAGAGCTTCCCACAGCACTTGACCTGCCCCAAATACTAAGTTATTCCACACAGTCTTCCTGACATCATAGCCTATAGAAAACAAGGCCATCCTTTCCAAAACCCTCAGCCCTTGCTGACATTATCACTGCTCTCCCTTTGGTTACCCTCCACAGAGCTGTGCTGGCACAGAGTGAAGGCAACCGTCCTCCTCCACATCTGCTGCAGGTAAATTTAAGGCCCTCAGCACACACAGACACAGCGGGAAGCTTCACACTCACTGCCAGGCTTCCAGAAGAGCACATTTGCACCGACGTTGCCAGTAACACAGAGTGAATACAAGTGTTCCAGGCAGCTTGATCCCCAGCCACGCTCTGAGGAGGGACTGAGGAAACAGTGCAAACATTTCCAGTGTTATGGCAACACAAACAGCGCTGACACTCATCTTATGGATACAGATAAACCCCAACAGCTTCAAACAGAGCCTGACAGCAAACCCTGCTCTTGTTCGACCTGGACAAGGGGGAGGAAAGAGAGGAAATCCAGACACAAATAATAACAACAATGAAAAAATATGAATTATTTCTGCTCGCTTGAGAACAGCACGTTACAGAAGAGCCCTTTCAGAAGGGCTCACCACCTTTATAAAACACAAATGGCTGAGAAAATTCCGAAGCCAAAACGCAGCAGATCTCATTGCTTCCACGCAGCAAAAGCCATGCTTCCAACAGCAGCACCTCCAGCTCCAAGCAATAACACCCAAACTGCCCTCGTTGCTTGGGTGGGAGCAGACAGAGCTGGGCTTAGCAGCTGTGAAACAGCCAGGAGCAGCGTGGTGCTCCTGCAAATATAGCCTTTATTCACACCCAACCTTGCTTTCAGGGATCCCCATACACTCTCCCTGTCCGCCTCCTCAGCACACAGCACAGCAGCAGCCTCACCTCAGCCCCATGAGCCGTAGGGCTGAGGGGCGCGCGCTGCCCGCCACCATTTTATCCTCCCCGCCGCGCGGGGCTCAGCGCCTCCCCCTTCCCCCCTTTTTCCCGCCCAGAGCGCGCGCCTTTTCCCGCCTCCTCAGCGCGTCTCCCTCAGACCTTGAGGAGAATCTGCTGACCGAACGCACGTACAGTTAAAGCGTCTCCAAGTGCTTCACTGTTACTATGGAGCAGCGCTTCCTACTAAAACCACGTCTCCCCATCCCCTACCTCCTTGTTCTCACAGGGTGAACCGTTGTCACTGTGGCGATTGAGAGGAGGAAAAAAAAAAAGCATCCCGTTGATTTCAGCAGAACCAGGTGATTCCCATGGCTTTGGAGGTTAGGAGCGACCCGAGTGCTTACAAAGCTCATGGGCTGAGGTTGGACCAGATGATCTTAGTGGTCTTTTCCAACCTTAATGATTCTAAGGTTTTTTTGGCCAGAACAGCCCTTCTGCTGCTGGCTCTCATGGAGCAACTCCCCACCCACAGAGCCCAAGAATCTTACAGACAAAGCTGCCGCAGTTCTTAAGTCACAACAAGGAATCCCTACACACGTTCACTAATGCAAATTGTTGTGGTTTTTTTTTCTTTGGCTGAGATTTTTCAGCTGTGTTTGGTCTGAGACAAACAAACAACCCCGGTGTGGGTTTACTTCATGCCCGAGGTAATGCGTGCAGCTGAACTGGGCACACGGGGGCAGCAGGTGAGAAAAATCAAAGAAAAGCGGTGAAGTTGTACCATAAAAGTGTCCCGTTCTCAGCCTGGGCTGCACTGTGTGACGTTTCTTGCAGACTTCATTTGGTTAGACGTTTCAGAGCAAGCAGTTTGAGAAGAATACGGGCAGTCTGCAGTGAGGCAGCTCCTTCCTATAAAGGCATCAGATCATGCAGGCAGTGGCACTTCAGTGATTTATTTCTCAGTGTTTCTTTCTTCCTGCTGAAATCTATTGCTAGAAGTCCCATTTCAGCCTGTTAGCTCATGCAACCGACAGGAAGGGCTACTTTTTGACTGGCCTCTGCCTGACAGCTTCTCCATTCAGCAGCAGATTCCTTTATGCTTCATTCAGCTGTGCCACAACTGAATGAGACCGATCACTGCTTGTCCATAAGGAGCATGCATGCCATGAGTGCCGCCTGGCACAGCGCAGCTTGTCCTCTGACCTTTCAGCCCAAAGCCCATAGTGATGGAGCACCTCGTTAAAAAATGAGGCTGGCAGGGACGGGGCTGCCTCTCAGACTTCTCTCCATGACCCTCATCAGCTCCAGAAGTGGCCTACAAACCCTCAACATCAACCCCAACCCAAGGGTGTTTTTTTTGGGTGTACATATGTATTACCTGCACTCAGAAACAAGCTAACAAAACCCCAACAAAACAGTTGTTAGCAACAGAAAAGCTTTGCAAACGTTTCAGAAATGTGTGCACACCTGAGATGAGGTGAAGGGCTTCCCCAAGCAGAATAAATGCTGTGCTTATTCAGGCTGCACACACATTGTGGCAACAGCACAACAGCACCATTTGGGGCAGGCTTTGTGCAGGGGATGGATGAGAGAAAACGCTGCTTCTGACAAAGCAGCATCACCACAGGCTCACATTCAGAGGATCCTGAAAGCATGAAGAACTGCACTTTATTTTTCCAGCACAGAGAGTTTGTTAGAAATCCCAAACCCATCAGAACAGGTCAGTGCAATGTAGACCATCTCTCTGGTCAGCAGCCAACCCTAAAACCTCATCTGTTGTTTGTTCTCACAAGGTAAACAAGAGCTAGTCTCTCAGAACAATCATTTAAATTACAATCCAATAAACTTTTAATGAGATACTTCACAGATTCCATTCACAGCAAGCATAAGGGGTTTTAAACAACAAAAGCATTTTTCATAGATAATTCCTCCTCACAGTACCAAAATGCACTTTGGATGTTTTTTATTACAAATACGCACACAAGAGCTTTTTCAGTCACCTGCTCAATC